CTCTAAAGCTTAAGTGAATATTGCAACACTCATATCTAATTTAGGATGTAATTTGATGAAATTAAAAGTTTATAATAAAAATTAATACAATTTATTAAATCGAAGGTACAAAGCTGAGTTTTTTTCATGGTTCTATTACATTTAGTAGAGTGGTTTTGAATTTTATCTCATTTTAATATGATATGGAAGGTAGTGAATGCATTATTTCGAAACTCAACCTATGCGTTCTATGATCTCTACCTCCGGCCCCAGTTTGAGATCCCATTCATTGAAATTTTACTATTTTATAATGGATAGTTTTAATTATGTCATGTGATAGTTAATATTTTATGTGACCATGGTGGCTAGGTTTATTATTATTTTTTTTTTCATGATGCTTTTATTTGTAGTTAAAAAAAAGTTTTTGAGACAAATTCTTATTGAATTAGTACAATTGCATGGATGCAGGAAAAAAAAAAGATAAAAAATCCATAGAAAATAACCCCATAAAAAGGAGGGCGATCAATTTATAAAGCCTTAAAATCAATGAACCAATTAAAACTAATTGAAACTGCCAATCCCATCTAAATGTCTACAAATCAATGAACATAATATCACACAGGCAGCATATAAAAATGGCAAAAGTGTAAAAATTATTGTGGAACGCTTCTCAAAAAAGAATTAAAATTAGCTTCACATCCAAATAATACTTAGATATTTAATGGTAAACAACAGTTTTTTACTCACTACCGCACAATTTTAAGGCTTAATAAAGAGAAATAACTTTTATATTTTTCAAAAAATCTAATATCGATAAAATTTTGAGTAATTTTTAAGATGCAGCACCTAAATATTGCTCATGCCAATCAAGTAATACTTAGAATCAATTAACTAGTGGTCAAACCACTTGGAGTGCTTCCAAATAATTATCAACCTATTCCATATATGATATATGATATATATATATATATATATGGTTAACTTTATTATTGTCGTGCATCGCTTTATTTTATATATTGGTCCTATTATAACATATCATATCATACCAAATCCAAATCATTTCCACTTTATACCATCACTATAGTAGATCAATACTTAATTAGATGTTTACTATTAAAGATGGATGTATATTTATTAAAATAAAAAGGTGAAAACATAATTGCAACTTTCTAAAGTTTAAAAACCGATTAAATGTTCAAATCATATCCACTTTACTTTGTCAACATATTAGCTCAATATATTTATGCAAAAAATGGGACGAGGTCAGACCTGGTCAAGAGAGTAAACTCTCTAATGCTCAAACGAGTAAAACAACTCCGACTCAATAGCAAGTTCGAGGAGAAATTCGATACCAGATGTGAAAATGGTGCTCTCTATTTATAGATTGGGGATCCGACAGACATTTCGACCAACGGTTACTTATCTCGGCTGGTAAATCAAACATGCCTGGAAATCCATGAGGCATTCGAATACCTCAACATAGTCTTTTGGATCCTTAGACCCATTATAGGGCTTCATAGTGGACATCTTGAACTTGGCCAGAAATTGTTCATCGAGAATGTCCGAGGTGAATGGTGATTCGCCCATTTCACCATCCTCGAACAAACTTTCTCTCTTCTCGTGCTTTTCATCCAGTCGAACTCTTCCCTCGTGATTACTCCTTCGGATATGATTGGAGTAAACCGAGATTGAGCTTTCTGGTTGGAGTATTCCTGTCAGTAAGAAGGGGAGACATAACACCTCGTAAGGTGGAGTTCCTCTTATTGTCAGCCAATACCTTCCTCAGGTCGCCTTCTTGGTGACTGTAATCGGCACCTCCGTCATCAACCAGGTTCTTGTCATTATTCTTTGGGTGCAGAGGAGGATCTCTAGTCTCACCTTCATTGGTTTACTCCTCTTCCATTTGAATCCGAGATTGAGATCCTATACGATTCGCGCACAACATATTGTTGTACATTTCCTCCATTGTGCGCACTCGGGTGCGCATGTCATGAAGTTCGAGTTGGAGGGTGGCTACAACTTCGGGGCCCACAGCTGGTTGGGAGGGTTTCCGTGCCGCCTTTTTGGAAGTTCCACCTCGACCTCGGTTGGTTTTGCTCTATTCATGGATAAGCAGGAGGAAGTGACAGATGATTGGTGTTACTGTCCTTTGAGTAGATCAAGCTTTTCACGAGAAGAATATAGTATGATTGGTTAAGTCTCCCACCTCGAAAGGTTCAAGATGGACCTTACTCAGATTTTCACCTATGTGGGTATTTCCCAGTCCTCTGAACTTTCTAAAAAGTGATTAAATTAGTAAGATATATAATTTTGAGTGCTTTTGAGTAAAAATTCGTTGACAAAACGTGATAAAAGAAATCTTGTATGATATGAGGTGGCATTGCGAAAACAGGGAAAGTTGAAGAGAGCAGAAAGCAACGTGTCTTGTTGAAGAAGCTTGTGGACAATGGGACGAGCTCTACACATGGCCTCTCCCACTCGAAGGATTGAATCAGCGCCGCAAAAGTGAGGCACATCACCCTCTGCGCCATTCCATACCCAGGACAAGCCCATGTATTCACCAGTACCATAGTCCCACGTTGCCCATCGTACCCGTATATCGTGCCGTCGTTGGGTGCATAATGGGGTAGCAACATCGGAGTGGCGGGAGCCAGACAAAGAGTCTCGAAGATGATCTCTTGAAGATAGGGTAGTTTGGACATGCCTGATTCTTCCAAAAGATGAGACATGGTCCATTCCATTATCCGTGTCGATGTGTCGTATTCCGCCATCAGTATATCTGCAATTCAGTTGTTACTGATAAAAAAATTATACATCTTTTAAGACTAAGAGTTGACATATTTGACGAAATAAATCCAGTTAATAGAGAATGTAACAATAAATGCATCACGATGAGATTAAGAAGATTATTAAATTAATCTAGTTTGCCAAATCAACAAAATAGAATCAGCGTCTTATAACATTAGTCAACCAAAAGTAACTTAACAATAAACTATTTCTCAAACTTGAAAGATCAAAAGTAAAAAGTTTAGGAACCAGATAGACATTTACTCAAAACCTCTTCGACTAAAGACATATTTTTCTATATAAAATATTATATATTATTTTATAAGAATTAGATACATATAAAATTGCAATATAAAGCATAGGTTAGGTAACCAAGCTCCTTCCCCCTTCCATATTTATTGTGCTATAAAAATATATATTAAATCGTTAAATAACTAATGGTATTTTGTTGTCAACCTTAGCATTACTCAACTAATTTAAGTATTTATTTCCGACTAAAAGTTCGTGAATTCAAATCTCCACCTTTACTTTTTATGTACTAAAAAACCAACGTTTGATTAATTAGCTAACCACAAATTTGTCACATAATTAATAATTAACAAAGAAAAAAAGACATCTTAAGAAAAAAATGAATATATACTCACTTGACCGTCATAGGTTGATCGAAGGTAATTAAAAAGACGTCGTTACTTAATAGTAGATGGCTCATTTAGTAATGTTCATCACCTTTCTTATTTCTTGTTTTCAAATTTTATTTAAAAATCCTAAGCATTTTGCAATTAATTATATTTATCGTTTCTCATTATTTGAAAGCATTCTCAAAATTGTATAGAAATTTAAAACAATTAAAACAAATTTCTTATTTCTTATTATCATTTCCAATTTGTTGCAAAACATAAATATAAATATTGTTTGATCATCTTTAAATTAATGTGTATTGATACATACCATTCTATTTAAGTTTCATATTTCTTATTTTCGTCTTCTAAAGGTACTCAATTTCGTTAATGTAGCATTAAATTAGAGGGGCAGTACAAATATGGCAAAAAAAAAAAATTAAAGAAATAACAAATTTAGCATCTACATTTTAGATTTGCAAATATAGCAAAATTTTTAGAAAAAATAGAGGTCCAATAATAAAATGTCAAATTTACCCTCGTATCATTGATATAGCACCGATATATATCTATCTGATATATACTTGATATAAATATGATTTACTATCGATATACAACTGATATATCATTGATATAACTATGATATCTACTCATATAACTTCTTATATGATTATATTATTTACTATTTATTGGTTTACCACTAATATATGTGTAATATATTATTGATATGTCTTTGATATACCACTCATATAATACTGATATATAATTGATTTACTTCTTATATCTATGATATCTACCAATATAACTTCTAATATGATTTGAMACTAATATACGTATGATATAACTATAATTTCTACTGATATAGATTCTTATATGATTATATAATTTACCATTGATTTACCATGCTGATATAACACTTATATATCTATGATATATACTTGATATGTCTTTAATTAACCACTAATATAACTGTGATATCTACTAATATAATTTCTCATATGATTATATCATTTACCACTAATATAACTTTGATGCATCTATGATATATATTTAATATGTCTCTAATTTACCATTGATATAACCATGATATCTACTGATATCTAACATTGATGCATCTGTGATCTACTGATATCTACTGATGTATATCATATATCAGTTACAAATATATTTAATATGTCACTGATATACATCAAATGTACATCATAGATACATCAGATATACATCGGTATATCATTAAAAATATATTTAGTATATCATAAATTAGAGATACTTCAGATGTATATTAGATATATAATATGTATTTTGATGTACATCAGAGATACATCAGGCGTATATTAGAATATATCAGAGATATATCGGACGTATATCAGATGTACATCTATCGGACGTATATCAAATATACATCTATCGGGCATATATCAGATATACATCGGGTATATATAAGATATCATAAGTGTAAAACTGAAATAATAAAAATTCTGAGAATAAAAATTCAAATATTTTACTATATTTGCAAAATATAAAAGTAGTTGACATTTTTGTAAATATGTATAAAAATTTAGTTAACCAGTACAACTTTCCTAAATTAAAATTTAGAGCTCAAATGACACGTGTCTCTTTTCCAATAAAGACAAAAGTCCACCCTATTTTGCTAAGTAATTTGAAACATAACCGATTTTTCTAATTTTTCTTAAACTACCCTACATTTTAAAAAGTCCCTAGTAGACTGAATTTAAAATTAAATAAAAGATATATTATTTTATTGCGTCAACGAGTACAAAAGACGACCAATTATTGAAAAACACCATCAAAATATTAAAGAGAGGATTCAGAGGAAAGTAATACTATTAAATAACTCTCTCAGCGAAGAAGGTTCTCGAGGATGGGACGAGCTCTGCACATGGCCTCCAACGGCACGATCTTGGGCATTGTGGCGCCCATCCCTTCGTTCATGTCCACTTCTTCTTCTCCAACTCTCTCCCACTCGAAGCACTGAATCAGCGCCGCCAAAGTGAGGCCCATCACCCTCTGCGCCATGCCGGACCCGGGACAAGCCCGCCGCCCAACCCCGAACGGCACCAGCCTGTGCACATCCTCTTCGGACTTCTCGTAACGTTCTGGTTTGAAACACGTGGCCTCCTCCCATTCGTTCGGATCTCTGTGTATGGCCCACGCGTTGACCATGACTATTGTGCCACGTGGCACGTCGTATCCACATATCTTGCAGTCGTCGGACGCGAAATGTGGCACCAACATCGGAGCCGCCGGATTCAGCCGCAGAGTCTCGGAGATGATCCCTTGAAGATAGGGCAATTTAGCAACGTCTGATTCTTCCACTAGTCGCTCTTCTCCAATCTGAGTGTCTAGTTCTTCTCTTGCCTTCTTTAGCACTTGAGGATTGTTCAGTAGATGAGACAGGGCCCATTCCATTGTCACCGCCGATGTATCGGTCCCCGCCGTTAGTAACACCTGAAAATCAGTCATTCTCAATTTTTACTGTGATTTTTTAAAAAATTATTTGGGCGTAGAGAAATGTCGAGAAATTGGGGAATTTCAAATACCAGTATAAATCCCTTGATTATTTGGTCCTCGTAGAGCGCAGGATCGGATTCTTGCAGCGAGAGCAGATGATCGATCATGGTGTTCCTTCCAGTTCCCTCTTCCTTCTTTCTCCGGTGTTCGTCGATTAGCCCCTGCAAGAACGTGTCTATCTTCTCCCCAAGCTCAATCAATTTCCTCTCGAAACCGTTGGGAATCCAATTCAGAATCGGAACGAAATCCGCTGGATTCGATACTCCTCCCATCGCCACAAGCTGCTTAACTATCTTCCTGAACTTCCTCGCCTCTTCCTCGTCCGTCACGTCGTCTCCGTAATACCTCTTCCCCGCCGCCATTCTCATCGAGATGTTGAACGTCAGTTCCGAAATGGCCGGTTGCATCTCCACTCTGGAGAATCCACTGAGCGAATTCCGCGACAGCTTCCTCAGCAACCGCTCCACTTCGTCCCTCCGGATTCCGGCGAATTTGTTGAGGCGAGACGAAGAGAAGACTTCGATGGCGCCGATGCGGCGGAGGTTCCGCCAGTGGTCGCCGTACGGAGCCGCAATCATGGTGGTGAAGTTGTAGGCAAGGTGTTTGGCAATTAGCAAGCGAGGACGGTTGGCGAGGACGACGTCGTTTTTGGTGAAGCACTCCTCCACCGCGGAGGAAGACGATACCACCACCGCGAGGCGAGAGCCGAGGCGGAGAGACATAACAGGACCATATTTGGCGGAAATCTTCTGGAAATTTCTGTAGAGTGGCTTTTTCAAGAGATGGAGGTGGCCGATGACCGGAAGAGAGGGCGGAGCCGGCGGTAAGTTTTTCCGAGCGCCGGCCGATCTTCGGATGAGCTTGAAAGAAAAAGCAAGGAAGAGAAGAGAGAGGGAAGCATAAAGTAGGAAGCTCTGTTCCATGGCGTATTGATTTCTGATTCTGCAGCTTGAGGAGGACCAAAGTGCTGTATATATGGTGAGAAGAAGATCAGCCAATTTTGAAAAGTTTTAATTGCATATGTGAAATTTTGAAAATCAGTTGCGTGGTCGATTTGATTCATAATAATACTTGAGAATTTTCTTTTTCATGTTTGCCCTGTCTATGAGCAGCCAGAGCTTGCACGTATTGGTTGGATTGGGTATCCAGCAAGAAAGAGACTTTTATTTTTCCTTCATTTAATATAAATGCTCTGATGAAAGGGTACAAAAAAAGTTTTCAAGCAATCCACCAAAGTGGATAAAAATTGAAATATTAAAACCAGTGCTAATTGCTAAGTGAAAATCAAAATAGAAACTCAATCAGCCGTTGGATAAAAGTTTGCAATCAGCTTTTGGATTTTTATTTTTTTTTATAAATAATGTATTTACAAAAGTAGGGTCATAAATCACATACCAGACACCCGATTTGGAGTTAATTCGTTCATTCTTCATGCTCAAGGAAAAAAAATTAGAAGTGTAAGAATTGGGGAGTCAGCACCACTACACCAAACAATATATAAGTTATCATTTTCACATTAATATTGTAATAAATACAAAAGTTATTGAGAATCTATGTAACCACTTACTATGTATGCATTTTATGTCACTTCAACTCCCACTATATGACACTGATGACACCCTTAGATTGCGTGGGACGTAAACGGTTTTTTTTTTTTTTTTACTTTGATAAGAAACTAAAATAGTTTAAATATATGCTGTTATTTAATTTATATTTTTTTAATAATTACATTATTTTTTTAGGTTTTTGTTTTTAATAATTAACCCTCACCTTTTTAGATATAAAAAATAATAAATAAATAAAAATAAAAATCCAAAACCAACCCTATAATTGATATAATCAACGATGTAATTTTACAAGCAATTAGTAAAAAAGACATCTTTATTGTTGGCTACAATAAATCATTAAAACAAGTAATAACTAAAAATGCACGTGTAACAACCTATATCTATTATCTATATCTGCATTTTATATTAAAAACGTACCGTTTAAGGAAGAATTAGACTATAATACTTCTTTAGTTTTTTTTATTAATTACAAATCCTATGTAATTTCATTGTTTTGATGTGAAAAGTCTTTTTTTTTTATAATTGAGAGAATAATTATCTTTATACAAATTATTGTGTCAAATACATAAACTATTGTCAATTTAGTTATCATGTCATCCTTATTATAAAGTTACCGGTCTACTAATTATTATCATTATTCTTATAATGAAACAGATAAAAATTCCACATGAAGTATATAAATACAAAATATTGAAATCAACATCTTCGAATTGAATTCCTAGGTTTTTTTTATAACTTATCCTAGAATATAACTATATAAGTCAAATATTCTATTTTAGTAAAAGTTTTAAATATTTTATTCTAATTTCTAAACTTTGTATTGAAACTATTTTATCTTTTATCCTCCATTTTCTAATAACTATTTAATATAAATCGGTCTATCTTTTTAAATTTATATTGAGCCTGTTAACTAAAATGCAATTATATTAAAATATAAAATATAAGCCAATGTAAACATAGGTTAGTGAGGAATATATATCTACTTTCATATATATATTTTTGCAAAAGGATTGAATTCCCTGATGTTATTATTCTAAGGAAAAAAAAAACTATAATGGATGGCATAATTGATTTTCATATTTACAAATTCGTCAGTTAGAAATTTAATTTGTACATATAACAAAGTTTTTTCTCATATATTGTTGATATACATTTTTTAATCATTCATAAAACATATAGCTTGTCTTTGATATAAAGTATATTATTGATATATCTTTCAAGTGATGAGGTATATTGTTGATGTATCAATATAAAATATATCACTTATATATTATTTTCATATCGTTGATAAAATATATCATTAAATGTTGATATAATATATATTGGTATGGATAAGATATGACACTGACATGATTCCCAATCGTATCATGCCATAGCAAAATTGAGGCCTAGTTTGACTTCATCGAGCATAGGAGGAAATGCTACATGTTAGGGGGCGAGCAACCTAATTCGTCCACTTTTCTTGGGTAAAGTTCGCCCAATGAAATATCTGCTGACATTCAGTGGTATGATTCCACATATAAGAGTGTCCTTAATGTCTACAAAAGATCCTTGTCTTAATAGGTAGAGCTTGAATTTTGCGAGGTGCATCTCTCTAAATCACACATCTATAGATAGATGAGTCAAACCCTTTATAAATTAGGTACAAARTACTTGCACTCAACTCTTGACTCTTCACTTAGTTGATTCGAACTTAATTATAACTAAGTTTTGAAGTGCATGTTGGCCGAGCACCACATTGGTATCAAGTTCATACGTACAAGTACTTCATCGTAGAATAGAAAATCCAATACTCCTAACTTTCATTTCAAAGCCTCTTAGACCAACTGCTCTCACAACGTCACCTTGTCTAAAATTCAGCAACAACATATGACACTGATATGTTATTTTTGCATCATCGTAATAATGATATACCAAAATGAATTACAATTGTATATATCTTTTTTATATAATTTTTAAAGCTCATCATTGATATATCAATATAAAATATACCACTTGTATACTATTTTTGTATAATTGATAATGTAAATCACTGATATATGTAATATGAAATATAATATATGAATCGTAACATTTGTGCTATTTTTACAAATATTTCATGATGTGACAAATTTACTATTATTAACTACATCTTGCTATTTCCACATCACAAAGGCCACTAAAAAACCTATCAAAATATGAGAAACCAAACATTAAAATAGGACATAAATCATAAATGTATATTTTTTGAAAAAATTACGAAAATTCATTTGGCAGTCACGGGCTCCCAGCCGTTAGATGACAGATCGGCATCGTGGCCGTATGTCATTGGACGGTCATCTAAGCAGGACGCAGCAGCGTAAATGTGTTGACAGTTCTCGTTAACGCGACATTAAACCGGGTTTGCTTCTCCCTTACGACTTATTCGGCATCCTGAAAGGCCGAAACTGCAGCTTCACCGGCTCTCCATTTCCGTCTACACGAAGGGGGTTTCCGTTTTCTTCTTCCTTCCAAGTTGCCCGTACTGAAATCTCTCTGTTTCTTCTGCCCGACCTCGTCCGCATGATCGTTTATTAACCTCTCTCCGGCCTCACAGCCGGCTTTTCTTCTGCCATGACGTCCATCACTTCCGTCGAATTGAATTACCTAGTCTTTCGGTACCTTCAGGAATCAGGTGGTTCTCGTCTTTCTAGCTCTTTTAAGCTTTCTGGAATTTCATTGTTGCTCTGGTTCTTGCCTTTTCACCTGTTCAGATAGATGTCAATTCGCTTTTATAACAGAAGGAAATTTTGAGCTGATTTTGATTTAGAAACGTAGTATCGTGGTTGGTTGGTTTTCCAGCTAGCTAGGGCAAGAAATTTAGTGTTCGTGCAATTAAAATTTGTAGATCAATGCAACTTTGGTAGGTTTACCAGAGCTTTCTTTTCCCTTCTCCTTCTGTACTTTTAAATACTGTGTGCTTCCATTAGGTTTTCCTCTAGTTTGATGTAGTGTTAATATAGGACCAAGACGGTTGTTCATGTGAGTTCTAGAGTCGGTTAGGACTTTGCATTCGCGAGGGAAGTTCTAACCATGGCTACAAGCCTGGTGCCCTTCCCAATTTGCTTGCTCGGGGTGAACAATGATTGTGGCTTTGTCATCCCTTTTAGTGCTATTTGGAGGGAAAATGAGAACCTAGGTACATTTTGATTTCATTTTCATACGCAGAAATTACTTTGAAGTATACTCGAATCTTGACAGTGGATAATCAAATGAACTCTAGTATAGTAAGTCATGCTTAACCGTACCCTTGAAACACTTTGAACCAAAAGCTCAAAGCTATGCATTGAAGTGAGCGACACCATACACGTCCTCATGGACCCTATATACACCTATAGAAACCCTCCTCGTGCTAACTAGATGTTCAAATTAATTTATTTTTTAGGATAAAGCTAGATGTTCAAATTAATAGCAACAAAAGGGGATCGCCAAAGGACCCTTCATCTCCCACTGAAGGTACGGAAGGGTTATAGGCAGTTTTCTCCGTCACACCACGACAAGTACGATTAAGGGCAGAAGGCACTGTCAAAGGTTGAAAAAGCCTCCATCAAATCCTCTCAACAAATGAACGCCTATAAAATTTGTGATCAAGATTATCAGATATATGCTTGCTAAGAACACACCATTCTGGATGGAGCATTAAGGAGTGAACTTTTAGATACAACCAAATGGTGTTGGTTCTTTTGAGTGCTACAAGCCATAAATAGAATTTAACCTTCTTTGGAAAGATGTGTGAATAACGTTGTACCAGTGCTTACCTTATCTAGTAAAGTCTAGGCCCTTCTTGGTTTTCCTTTTTCTCTTGTTGACCACCAAAGTGAAGGGAGTGCTTGAACCTAAAGGGCTGAATCAAATATGTTTGAATATAAAAGGATAAGGGCTGAATCAAATGAAATCCCTCACTTTTGATGTTATTTTTGATATAGTTATTGTACTAGCTCTTGGTTGGTGTAAATGTTTCTACTCCCCCTTCAATAGCTACTCTTTAAACGACCTTATTACAAGTTGCAAGGTGTTTTAGTAATTGCTCTTGTGGCCTTTTGTATATTTCACACCAAAAAAAAAAAAAGAAAAAGGATAAGGACTCGACTTGGTTATTTCCGTTGAAAGGGTTATAAGATAATGGTTAGAAGTGAATCTAGAATATAACAGCTACCTTGGCCCCTCAAAAAGATTCATCCACCCTTCTAGACAATAAAATTTTGTCAAGCTAACACACCACATTAGAATGCAAATTGGACTGCATAAATCTACCATTCACCAGGGCAGGGTGAAGGGTCTAAAAGCCCATGCTTTACAGTGAAACCATTAAATGTCTAAGTATATTTTGTAAACTTTCCTTTTACTCATTACTAATAGGCTTTTCCTTGGAGAATTTGGTAACATTAGTCACCCACTGTAGACACCAACAGTGACCACACCACCCAGATGGACCTCCGGACCGCCAGACCTCCCAACGCCTCCCAAAACAGATTCCTCTCCCTAAACCTTGGAGGCCCATATGCTGCAGTTGCTCCTCTTGTCTGAAT